ATATTGCAAACCTTTTTTCCTTTTCTTGAACATATATAGATCCACGTGTATCCATATATAAATACGTTTATATGTATATATATATATATATAAACACATATATAAATATGTATGTATATAATATGTTTATGATATATGGAAATAGAAATGAGACTATTGTTGCATAGGTAATGGCCTTATTGCTTAAAATTCTACAATACGAAATATACGAATAAAGAGAAAATTACTCAGAATTGGTCAAAGTGCCTGGATCTTCAACGGTGAGAGATGCTCCATTGTCTAGTGGAGTAAGATTAAGAATCATGGTGGCTGCTTTGGAAGCCCTTCAATAACAATAAAATCAAATATGTAAATGCGTGGAAGTCTTAGAACAACCTTGAACTTGCTTACCAATTGTGTTAAACTGAAATATTAGGTTGCTTACCATTGTTGAGGCGATTGATATTGAGGAGCAATATCACCGAGTAAAGAGACAAGCATGTCGGTATATATGATGCCCGGATCTAAGCTCACAATTGCCATTCCCTCCGGGACATCTTTTGCTGTAGCTTTGCTTAGTCCTTCAACCGCCCATTTTGATGCACAATATGGTGCACACTGCAAAATACAAGGATTATTAGTTAACAAACTTAAATAACTCTTCCTAGTTTAGTTTCACTAATAAATACCTGTTGTTGTGCAGTTCTCCCCAAAATTGAAGACATGTTGATGATAATCCCTTGGTTGCTAGAAATCATAAGAGGAATGAAATGACGCATAACATTGGCTATTCCTTTCACGTTGGTATCAATCACATTTTCAAATTCTTGTGCATCCACCTCCCACATTTTACCATTTTTATTAATCAAAGCTGAATTATTCACTGTCAATCATATTCACAAATCCTTTAGCTATTTATTTATTATTATTATTATGTTAAGAATGAGAAATAGAAATAGAATTGGAAAGGTGTTTATTCTCGTTGATATTCATAATCTTTAAATAGAATACAAGCTATCAACTAATACCTACCGATAAAAAAAATATAAACTAATTAAATATTGATAATAAAATAAAATATATTATAAATCAAATCATAAAGGAAATAATATTAAGAGATAATATCTAAGATATATTCCATAAACAATATATTCTTCAAATATTATATCTCAAATAAAATAAAAAAATAAAAAAAAGCGAAATACCAATGATATTTGGAACAAATTCATTTTCTACCAAAGCTCTTGCAAACTCTTCGACTTTGGTGTTGGATCTCTGCAAAATCCACATTTAAGTTTAAACCCAAAACGTGAGATTAAAAAACAAAAGAAGTATTTACAAACCACGTCAAGGTTGAAGAGGAAATGGTTTGTGGAAGATAGCTTAGCAAGCTCCAGTTGAAGGGAATCAAGTTGAGTTTGGTTGCGTGAGCAGCCAATAATGGTATGCCCACGATTGGCTAGCTCCAACGCCAAAGCTCTTCCTAACCCTTTGCTAACGCCAGTTATCAACACCTTTCTAGGAATGGTGGCCATTTTAGTTTTGGGTCTAGCGTTTCTTAGAGACAATTTTATAGAATGATGAGAGTTTGAATGTTTAGGAGATAAGGTTCAGTTGGTGGTTAAAGATGTTGAAAAAGTTAGGTTTGGTGGGTAGTCATTTGAGAGGAATGATTAAGAAAGACATTTTCTAAGTTTTTGGTTGTCGTTTTTTTTGGTGTGGTCCCAGTAAGCATGACCAAAAATAGTATCCTCATGAAATGCATGTTTCCAACAAATAGCTTACTTTGTCTTTAACTTGTGAGGTGTGTTTCTCAGAACTGCGACGTATCCTAGAGATGTGAGAGATTAGGTTTTAAGTTTCCAAGAAAGAGATAAGAGGGAAAAAAGGCCATTTGGGCGCACATACTGATTGAGTAAGAGAGCGGTGGAGAGAGACGTCAGGCAATGGTCTCTCTGTTTTGGCAGAGAGCATCATAATTTGATTTTTTATTATGGCGCTTACCAATAATACAGATAGAACCGACAATTTACCTAACATCTTGGTCGATTCTCACAAAATTCTCAATGATTCCAGAATAGTGCTGTAGAAAATTTGGAGGAAACCGAGTACCGAAAGCTCAAGAAACATGTTCCCGAGCACCGAACAAGACGTAAGTAGCCACCTTGGACTTTTCTAAAAAATTACTTGTAGGAATAGCTTGGATTTTTATATGAACCATAAACCAACCAAGTATGAATTAAGCTTATATATAAAAAAAAAAAATTAAAAAATTAAAAAAAAATCCAAAGAACCGCGAGTTACGACCCCGAACTAGTCAAAGTGCTCGGGATTTAGGTAGCGTTAAAATAACCCGTTAAATGAATTCTGCTGCTTATGAAATTTTAATGTTGTGCATATTATGACATGTTGAAATTATGTATGAAATTTGATAGTCGCGAGATAAGGTTTAGTAGGAAAACCAATGGAGAAAAAAAAAAAAGACCATAATGTCTTTGTAGAAGACTACCTACAATTTAAGCCTTAATGAGCTTGGAGATCATGATAAGCTTAAATAGAGAAAACAGAAAAAGATCAGTCAAAATACCCTAAACCTTGCATCACCACCTAAAGAAACCCAACGATTCTTTAAGAACGGGAAAAGTACACCCTATGGAAGGACACCTTTCACTTATAGTAGTTCGAAAGGCGATACGAGCGGAGAACGTGAACCAGAGCCGCGATAGATGATTTGAGCTTATGAAATAAATGGATGGTTAGACCGAGAACTCAATCCAGACCAAAAACTTTAGATGGGCCTTTAATTAGATAATTTAAAGCATTGAAAAAAATAATTAATGGAACTCTTAATTATAAAGTTAACTGCTTGCAAAGTAAATGATATACTCATACAAATTGTTTTAACTTTTCTTTTTAGATAGACAAGATGTTGCAAAACGGAGATGATGGCATGGACGAGCTAGTAACTTTAGACATCTTGTATACACTCGAGTCTTTTGTGTTAAAACTTTATGTTCCTTATTTTGAACTTTTTCATGGTTAAGTATACTTTCGTTTTGTTATATTACATTATTGTAAATTATGTGAATTTTGGGTTGTCACGGCCAAATTTGAATCTCGGATCTTGATTTAAAATTCAAAAATCAAAAGAAAATAAAGGAAGAGTAAAATAAAATAAAAGATGAAATCTGATAAAATTTAAATCGAAACACGTGTCAAGATGTAAAAGCAAGTAGGAGTAGTTTTGGACGCATGGTCAGTAAGTGAGGTCTATTTTTCAATCCATTCAACATTAGTAGATTTTTTTTTTTTTTTTTTTTTCTGATTTTGATATTAACCTTAATTTTACTTGAAATAAGACCTACTAGAGAAATTATAGGAATTTTTGAGCCCTAACACTCCATGAACTTTAGGCATCATCTATGTAACTATTTCAACTTTAGGAAAGTAATACTTGTAAGGAGCACTTGTGCTTGACATACAAGATAATCGTGTTTAAGTAATAACCTAAAGAGTTTATAGTATATGGATAAGGTTGGGTGCCTTGTCCCGGTAACACTATTAATATGATCCACTTCTTAATTGTTACAAATGATTTGATCTAAATAATTCATGTAGAGACATGTAAGTGGGAGTATCCTACGCAACGAGTTTGTCTAAGACTGGACCAAGAAAAATTTAATCTCTCTTTATAAATCCGTTAATTGAGAAGATTAATATTTCACATGATGATCATATGCGACTCGATCTTAATGCTGAGTGGGTTATGAACTCCTGCATGTGAAGGCTTGTCCTTTAATTTACATGGGTGAGAATGGCTCTTTTAGCCGATTCAATATGTCTACCATTTTGGGGACTTGACCAAATAAGAAGTTGGAAACATAATATCATGAGATAGAATTCCCTCCTTTCCAGGAAAGTGGATGAGTTGTTCTCTTCAGTACTGATTCCGGGACTTGAACAATGGGGCCCATCCTCTCATTATCCCGAGAAGGACTTGGTTTATGATTGGATTATAAACAACTATTCATTAGAGAATCAGTGGTACTTAAGGTGAAAGATGTAATTGTAGGAGTAAAACTGACTTTTAACCCAGCTATAATTCTGAACAACTCGTGAATGATCAACTTGCTTGTAATGGTTATATAAATGGACATAACTTGTCCTACAGTGTATAAGAGTGGAACTCTAGGTCTATAGTGGAGTGACCTATAGTTACTGAATGGAAATTGATTAATTAAAGAGTTTAATTAATTAATTTTATATCATTGGAGCTTATAATCGGTAGGTCTATAAGTTTCGCTTACCAGCTATAATAACACTAAAAGTTCAATTTATTTGAAAGAAAATTTAAAGGGTTCAAATTGATATTTAATATATTAGATATATTAAATATAAAAGAGAAAATAAATTTAATTTCAAATGTCAAATTAATATTTATATATTAGATATATTAAATAAATAGAGAAAATTCATTAATATTTAATATATTAGATATGTTAAATATAAATGAAAAAAACATGTTAATTTGAAGGGTTCAAATAAATATTTAATATATTAAATATATATATATATATATATATATATATATATATTTATTTATTTATTTATTTATTTATTGTATTTGATATAATTAAATATTAGAACAATATATGTATTTTGATACATTAAATAAAAATATATTTGAAATTTGAATGTGATTCAAATTAGTTAAATATATATTATGATATCTTATATATCTAAATATGATTTGTACAAACGTATTATATCCTAATATATTAAATATGCAAATATATTATTTGGCAAAGATTCTTCAAGAATCTCTATAAATAGGATCTTCGGGTGGAGCCAAAGGCGTACGAACCTCTTCCACTTTTTCTTGAGAATGAAATTACGTCTATAGAGAATTCTCGAAACTATTCTTCTCCCAATCCCTTTGAGATTTTCTTTCAAGAGGCTCAGAGAATTTTTGAAACTATTCTTCTCCCAATCCCTTTGCGATTTTCTTTCAAGAGACTCCCATAAGTCTTGGTCTTGTGTTCGAGTCATAGCAAGGAAGAACTTGTGGAATATGAAGAACGTTTGCATGGTTGGAATACTTCAAGAAGTCTTGCAAGCTACGGGTTCTATAAAGGTAGAGTTCTTGCTCTCGTAATTATTGTCTTTCTTTTAATTTTTAATAAAATCAAAACGGACTTGTGGAATATGAAGAGCGTTTGCATGTTTGGAATATTTTAAGAAGTCTTGCACGCTACGATTTCTACAAAGGTAGAGTTCTTGCTCTCATATTTATTGTCTTTCTTTTAATTTTTAATAAAATCAAAACGGTTTCCAATGCTTCCGCTGCGTGGATGAAGAGTTCATTCCCTTCAATTGCATTAGAGCTTATTGATTTTTATTTTGAATTAAAAGTTGTATGGTGGATAATTTATTTAAAATCATGTATGTGATATATGCAATTTTGAATTTTCAAAATTGATTGTTTTGGCACATTGGTGTGGTATTAGATTTACTCCTTTGTTAGACAAATGTATACCCTTATGAGTTATGTTTTGGCATATTGATGTGGTATTAGATATCACACACTAATTTTATGAGATTTGGAATGGTTCCAAAGGGAAAGATCTCCAACCCTATGGTTCCAAAGGGAAAGATCCCGAACTCTATGGTTCCAAAAGGGAAAGATCTCGTTCCAACCTGGAAAGATCTCAAACCCTAATTCTATGGTTAGAGAAAGATCTCAAACCCTAAATTTATGGTTCCAAAAGGCAAAGATCTCAAACCCTAACTTTATGGTTCCAACAGGGAAAAATCTCAAACCCTAATTTTATGTTCCAACTCGGAAAGATCTCCAAAAATTTTATGATTCCAACATCTCAAGGAACCATCTCAAATCCTAATTTTGTGGTTACAAACAGGTAATCTCAAACCCTAATTTTATTAGATTTTATCCTTCCAAAGGTAAAGATCTCAAACCTAAGATCTCAAACCCTAATTTTAGGGAAAGATCTCACACTCTAATTTTATTAGATTTTATCTTTACAAAGAGAAAGATCTGGAACCCTAATTTTATTAGATTTAGATCTCAAACCCTAATTTTTTTAGATTTGATCGATCCAAAAGAAAAATCTCAAACCCTAATTTTATTAGATTTTATCGTTCCTAAAGGGAAAGATCTCAAACCCTAATTTTATTAGATTTTATCTTTACAAAATGAGAGATCTCAAACTCTAATTTTATTAAATTTTATCCTTATAAAGGGAAAGATCTCAAACCCTAATTCTTACCAAGAGAAAGATCTATCTAATTTTATGGTTCCAACCGCATTGATCTATCTAATTTTATGGTTCCAATGATCTAAAACTCTAATTTAATTGTTCCAACCGCAAAAAAAAAATCTCAAACTCTAATTTAATTATTCCTAGAAAGATCTCAAACTCTAATTTTATGGTTGCAAAGATCTCAAATTCTAATTTTATCTTTTCAAAGGGAAAGATCTCAAACTCTAAGTTCATGTTCGAACAAGTAAAGATCTCAAACTCTAATTTCATGGTTCTAATAGGGAAAGATCTCAAACACTCTATGGTTCTAATAGAGAAAGATCTCAAACCCTAATTTTATGGTTCCAGCAGAGAAAGATCTCAAACCCTAACTTTATGGTTCCAACAAGTAAAAAATTCAAAATGGTTCCAACAAGTAAAAAATTCAAAACCTAACTTTATGGTTCCAATAGGGAAAGATCTCAAACCCTAACTTTATGGTTCCAACAGATTCAGACTCTAATTTTATGGTTCAAACATTAAAGATCTCAAACCCTATTTTTATTAGATTCTATGGTTACAAAGGGAAAGATCTCAAACCCTAATTTACCATTCCAAAGGGAAAGATGTCAAACTCTAATTTTATGGTTCCAAAAGGAAGATCTCAAACCCTAATTTTATTAGTTCTAAAGGGAAAGATCTCAAACCCTAATTTTATTAGATTTTATCCTAGGAAAGATCTCAAACCCTAATTTTATTAGATTTTATCCTTAGAAAGGAAATATCTCGAACCCTAATTTTATTAGATTTTGTCGAACAAAGGGAAAGATCTATCTAATTTTACGGTATCAACGGGGAAAGATCTCAAACCCTAATTTAATGGTTGGAATTTTATGGTTCAGGGAAAGATCTCAAACCCTAATTTTATTAGATTTTATCCTTCTAAAGGGAATGATCTCAAACCCTAATTTTATGGTTCCAACGGGGAATGATCTCAAACCCTAATTTTATTAGATTTTATCGTTCCAAAGGGAAAGATCTCAAACCCTATATTTATTAGATTTTATCGTTCCAAAGGGAAAGATCTCAAACCCTATATTTTTTAGATTTTATCGTTCCAAAGGGAAAGATCTCAATCCCTAATTTTATCGTTCCAAAGGGAAAGATCTCAAACCCTAATTTTATCATTCCAATGGGAAAGATCTCAAACCCTAATTTACCATTCCAAAGGGAAAGATGTCAAACCCGAATTTTATGGTTCTGAGGGGAAAGATCTCAAACCCGAATTTTATGGTTACAAAGTGAAAGATCTCAAACCCTAATTTTATGGTTCCAACAGGGAAAGTTCTCAAACCCTAATGAAGAGTTCATTTCCTTCCATTGTATTAGAGTCTATTACTTTTATTTTGAGTTAAAAGTTGTAGGGTGGGTAATTTATTTAAAATCATATATGTGATAATGCAATTTTAATTTTTCAAAATGGATTGTTTTGGCATATTGGTGTGGTATTAGATTTATTGCTTTGTTAGACAAATGTATACCTTATGAGTTATGTTTTGGCGTATTGTATTGATTGTTTTGGCATATTCGTGTGGTATTAGATCTTAAACCCTAATTTTATGGTTCCAACAGGAAATGATCTCAAACTCTAATGAAGAGTTCATTCCCTTCTATTATAATAGACCCTATTATTTTTATTTTGAATTAAAAGTTGTATGGTGGATAATTTATTTAAAATCATATATGTGATCTATACAATTTTGATTTTTCAAAATGGATTGTTTTGGCATATTGGTGTGGTATTAGATTTATTGCTTTGTTAGACAAATGTATACCCTTATGAGTTATGTTTTTGCATATTGTATTGGTATATTAGTGTGGTATTAAATCTCAAATCGATCATTTTATTAGATATGGAATGGTTCCAACAGGGAAAGATCACAAACCCTGTGGTTTCATCAGGAAAAGATCTCAAACCCTATACTTTCAACCGGGAAAGATCTCAAACCCTATGGTTCCAACAGGAAAAAATCTCAACCCTAATTTTATGTTTCCAACGGTGAAAAATCTCAAACCCTAATTTTATGGTTCCAACATGAAAAAAACCTGAAACCATAATGAAGAGTTCATTCCCTTCCATTGTATTAGAGCCTATTAACTTTTATTTTGAATTTAAAGTTGTATGGTGGGTAATTTATTTAAAATTATAGATGTGATATATGCCATTTTTATTTTTCAAAATTGATTGTTTTGGCATATTGGTATGGTATTAGATTTACTACTTTATTAGACAAATATATACCTTTATTAGACAAATATATACCCTTATGAACTATGTTTGGCTTAATGTACTGATTGTTTTGGCATATTGTATTGATTGTTTGGCATATTGGTGTGGTATTAGATCTTAAACACTAATTTTATGAGATTTGGAAGGGTTCCAAAGGGAAAGATCTCAAATCCTATGGTTCCAACACGGAAAGATCACAAACCCTAATTTTATGGTTTCAATAGGGAATGATCACAAACCCTAATTTTATGGTTCCAACGGGGAAAGACCACAAACCTTAATTTTATGGTTCCAACAGGGAAAGATCACAAACCCTAATTTTATGCTTCCAATCGGGAAAGATCTCAAACCCTAATTTTATTGTTCCAACAAACCCTAATTTTATGGTTCCAATAGGGACCGATCACAAGCCCTAAATCTATGGTTCCAATAGGTAAAGATCTAAAACGCTAATTTTATGGTTCCAACCGGGAAAGATCTCAAAACCTAATTTTATGGTTCCAACAAATTTTATGATTCCAACAGGGAAAGATCTCAAACCCTAATTTTTTATTCCAATAGGGAAAGATCTCAAACCCTAATTTTATGGTTCCAACAAACCCTAATTTTATGCTTCCAATAAGGACAGATCACAAACCCTAATTCTATGGTTCCAACCGGTAAAGATCTAAAACCCTAATTTTATGGTTCCAACAGGGAAAGATCTCAAACCCTAATTTTATGGTTCCAACAGAGAAAGATCTCAAACCCTAATTTTTTGGTTCCAAGAGGGAAAGATCTCAGACCCTAATTTTTTTGGTTCCAATAGGGAAAGATCTCAAACCCTAATTTTATGGTTCCAATAGGGAAAGATCTCAAACCCTAATTTTATGGTTCCAACAGGGAAAGATCTCATACCGTAATTTTATAGTTCCAACAGGGAAAGATCTCAAACCCTAATTTTATGGTTCCAACCAGGAAAGATCTCAAACCCTAATTTTATTGTTGGTTCCAACAAATTTTATGGTTACAACCGAAAAAGATCTCAAACCCTAATTTTATGGTTGAAGGGGAAAGATCTATAACCCTAATTTTTTGGTTGGTTCCGAGGGGAAAGATCTCAAACCCTAATTTTAGGGGAAAGATCTCAAACCCTAATTTTAGGGGAAATATCTCAAACCCTAATTTTATGGGAAAGATCTCAAACCCTAATTTTAGGGGAAAGATCTCAAACCCTAATTTTATAGGAAAGATCTCAAACCCTAATTTTATGGTTGGTTCAGGAAAGATCTCAAACCTTGGTTCCAACCCGAGAAGATCTCAAACCCTAATTTTATGGTTGGTTCCAACAAGGGAAGATCTCAAACCCTAATTGTATGGTTTGTTCCAACAAGGGAAGATCTCAAACCCTAATTGTATGATTTTTTCCAACAAGGGAAGATCTCAAATCCTAATTTTATGGGAAAGATCTCAAACCTAAGTTTATGGGAAAGATCTCAAACCCTAATCTTATGGTTCCAATAGAGAAAAATCTCAAACCCTAATTTTATGTTGGTTCCAAGGAAAGAACTCAAACCCTAATTTTATGCTTGGTTCCAACCGGGAAAGATCTCAAACCCTAATTTTATGGTTGGTTCCAAACGGGAAAGATCTCAAACCATAATTTTATGGTTGGTTCCAACCGAGAAAGATCTCAAACCCTAATTTTACAGGGAAGATCTCAAACCCTAATTTTATGGTTGGTAACAACCAGGAAAGATCTCAAACCCTAATTTTATAGTTGGTTCCAACCGGGAAAGATCTCAAACCCTAATTTTACAGGGAAGATCTCAAACCCTAATTTTATGGTTGGTAACACCGGGAAAGATCTCAAACCTTAATTTTATGGTTGGTTCCAACCGGGAAAGATCTCAAACCCTAATTTTATGGTTGGTTCCAACCGGAAAAGATCTCAAACCCTAATCTTATGGTTGGTTCTAACCGGGAAAGTTCTCAAACCCTAATTTTATGGTTGGTTCCAACCGGGAAAGATCTCAAACCCTAATTTTATGGTTGGTTCCAACAGGGAAGATCACAAACCCTAATTTTATGATTGGTTCCAATCGGGAAAGATCTCAAACCCTAATTTTATGGTTGGTTCCAAGGGGGAAGATCTCAAACCATATTCTTATGGTTTGTTCCAAGGGGAAAGATCTCAAACCCTAATTTTATGGTTGATTCCAATCGGGAGAGATCTGAAACCCTAATTTTATGGTTGATTCCAATAGGTAAAGATCTCAAACCTTGGTTGAAACCGGGAAAGATCTCAAACCCTATTTTTATGGTTGGTTTCAACCGGGAAAGATCTCAAACCCTAATTTTATGGTTGGTTCCAACCGGGAAAGATCTCAAACCCTAATTTTATGGTTGGTTCCAACCGGGAAAGATCGTTGTATGGTTGGTTCCAACAAGGGAAGATCTCAAACACTAATTTTATGGTTGGTTCCAACAAGGGAAGATCTCAAACATTAATTTTATGGTTGGTTCCAACAAGGGAAGATCTCAAACCCTAATTGTATGGTTGGTTCCAAATGGGGAAGATCTCAAACCCTAATTGTATGGTTGGTTCCAACAAGGGAAGATCTCAAACCCTTATTTTATGGTTGGTTCCACCACGAAAGATCTCAAACCTTAATTTTATGGTTGATTAGAACCGGGAAGATCTCAAACCCTAATTTTATGGTTGGTTACGGGAAGATCTCAAACCTTAGTTTTATGGTTGGTTACAACAGAGAAGATCTCAAACCTTATAGTTGATTACAACAGGTAAGATCTCAAACCTTAATTGTATGGTTGGTTCCAACAAGGGAAGATCTCAAACCTTATTTTATGGGGGGAAGATCTCAAACCCTAATTGTATGGTTGGTTCCAACAAGGGAAGATCTCAAACCCTTATTTTATGGTTGGTTCCACCACGGAAGATCTCAAACCTTAATTTTATGGTTGGTTAGAACAGGGAAGATCTCAAACCCTAATTTTATGGTTGGTTACGGGAAGATCTCAAACCCTAATTTTATGGTTGGTTACGGGAAGATCTCAAACCCTAGTTTTATGGTTGGTTACAATAGGGAAGATCTCAAACCTTATAGTTGGTTACAACAGGTAAGATCTCAAACCCTAATTTTATGAAGATCTCAACCTGTAATTGTATGGTTGGTTCCAACAAGGGAAGATCTCAAACCCTAATTGTATGGTTGGTTCCAACAAGGGAAGATCTAAATTGTATTGTTGGTTCCAACAAAGATCTCAAACCCTAATTTTATGGTTCCAACCAGGGAAAATCTCAAACCCTAATTGTATGGTTGGTTCCAACAAGGGAAGATCTCAAACCCTAATTGTATGGTTGGTTCCAACAAGAGAAGATCTCAAACCCTGATTTTCTGGTTGGTTCCAACAAGGGAAATTCTCAAACTGTGATTTTATGGTTGGTTCCACTAGGGAAGATCTCAAACCCATTAGAACACCGCAGTTAAGCGTGCTTGGGCGAGAGTAGTACTAAGTTGGGTGACCACTTGGGAAGTCCTCGTGTTGCACCCCTTTTTTATTTCTTTTACTCGTTATTTCAATTTCCCCCCGTTCTTTTCTAACTTTCTTTACAAATGGCAACTGCCCCCACTTACACGCTCACGCCTATCGCATTTCTTCTCCCCGACGTGTCTGCGCCAGCTGTTCCGAGCACGTGCGTGCACCCACCGTCGCCTTGATCACGCCATCCCGCATGCGATAAATGCAATTTGTGCGCATTGCATGCCGGGTGCGATCATACCAACACTAATGCACCGGATCCCATCTGAACTCCGCAGTCAAGCGTGCTTGGGCGAGTGTAGTACTAAGTTGGGTGACCACTTGGGAAGTTCTCGTGTTGCACCCCTTTTTTTTTATTTCTTTTACTCGTTATTTCAATTTCTCCCCGTTATTTTCTTCCTATCTTTACAAATGGCAACTGCCCCCGCTCGCACGCTCATGTCCATCGTGTTTCTTCTCCCCGACGTGTCCACGCGGACCCCACTGGCTATTCCAAGCACGTGCGTGCACCCACCGTCGCCTCGATCATGCCGCCTCGCATGTGTTAAATGCAATTTGTGCACATTGCATGGCGGGTGCAATCATACAAGCACTAATTCCCCCGATCCCATCAAAACTCCACAGTTAAGCGTGCTAGGGCGAGAGTAGTACTAAGTTGGGTGACCACTTGGGAAGTCCTCGTGTTGCATCTCTTTTTTTTATTTCTTTTACTCGTTATTTCAATTTCAATTTCTTCCCGTTCTTTTCTTCCTTTCATTACACATGGCAACCGCCCCCGCTCGCACGCTCACGCCCATCGCGTTTCTTCTCCCTGACGTGTCCCTGCGGGCCCCGTCGGCCGTTCCGAGCACGTGCGTGCACCCACCGTCGCTTCGATCCTGCCGCCCCGCATGCGTTAAATGTAATTTGTGCGCATTGCATGTTAGGTGTGATCATACCAGCACTAATGCACCGGATCCCATCAGAACTCCGAAGTCAAGCGTGCTTGGGCGAGAGTAGTACCAAGTTGGGTGACCACTTGGGTGGGTAGTCCTCGTGTTGCACCCATTTTTTATTTTTTATACTCGTTATTTCAATTTCTCCCCGTTCTTTTCTTCCTTTCTTTACAAATGGAACCACCCCCGCTCACGCGCATCGCGTTTCTTCTCCCCGTTCTTTTTTTTCTTTCTTTACAAATGGAACCACCCCCGCTCGCACGCTCACGCCCATCGCGTTTCTTCTCCCCGTTCTTTTTTCTTTCTTTACAAATGGAATCGCCCTCGCGTTTCTTCTCCCCGATGTGTCCGCGCAGGCCCTGTCGGCCGTTCCGAGCACGTGAGTGCACCCACTGTACGCATTGCATGCTGGGAGCGATCATACCAGTATTAATGCACCGGATCCCATCAGAACTCTTCAGTCAAGTGTGCTTGGGCGAGAGTAGTACTAAGTTGGGTAACCACTTGGGAAGTCCTCGTGTTGCATCCCTTTTTTATTTCTTTTACTTGTTATTTCAATTTCTTCCCATTCTTTTCTTCCCTTCTTTACAAATGGAAACCGCCCCCGCTCGCATGCTCACGCCCATCGCGTTTCTTCTCCCCGACGTGTTCGCGCAGGCCCCGCTGGCCGTTCCCAACACGTGCGTGCACCCACCGTCCCCTCGATCATGTTGCCCCGCATGCGTTAAATGCAATTTGTGCGCATTGCATGCTAGGTGTGATCATACCAGCACTAATGCACCGGATCCCATCAGAACTTTGCAGTCAAGCATGCTTGGGCGAGAGTAGTACTAAGTTGGGTGACCACTTGGGAAGTCCTCGTGTTGCACCCCTTTTTTATTTCTTTTACTCGTTATTTCAATTTCTCCCCGTTCTTCTCTTCCTTTCTTTACAAATGGCAAGCACCCCATCTCGCACGCTCACGCCCATCGCCTTTCTTCTCCCCGACATGTCCGCGCGGGCTCCGTCGGCTGTACCAAGCACGTGCGTGCACCCACCATCGCCTCGATCATGCCGCCTCGCATGCGTTAAATGCAGTTTGTGCGCATTGCATGCTAGGTGCGATCATACCAGCACTAATGCACCGGATCCCATCAAAACTTTTCAGTTAAGCATGCTTGGGCGAGAGTAGTACTAAGTTGGGTTACCACTTGGGAAGTCCTTGTGTTGCACCCCTTTTTTATTTCTTTTACTTGTTATTTCAATTTCTCCCCGTTCTTTTCTTCCTTTCTTTACAAATGGAAACCGCTCCCGCTCGCACGCTCACGCCCATCGTGTTTCTTCTCCCCAACGTGTTCGCGCAGGCCCCGCTGGCCATTCCCTGCACGTGCGTGCACCCACCGTCGCCTCGATCATGCTGCCCCACATGCATTAAATGCAATTTGCGCGCATTGGATGTTGGGTGTGATCATACTAGTACTAATGCACCGGATCCCATCAGAACTTTACAGTCAAGTGTGCTTGGGCGAGAGTAGTACTAAGTTGGGTGACCACTTGGGAAGTTCCTGTGTTGCACCCCTTTTTTATTTCTTTTACTCGTTGTTTCAATTTCTCCCCGTTCTTTTCTTCCTTTCTTTACAAATGGCAACCGCCGACCGTTTCGAGCACGTGCATGCACCTACCGTCGCCTCGATCATGCCGCCCCGCATGCGTTAAATGCAATTTGTGCGCATTGCACGAAGGGTGCGATCATGTTTGCCAGGGAAATCCTTTTCTTTTCGGTGAGAGGAAATCGTTGACGGGAAGTTGTTGGAAGAAAATAAAATGCGTAAAATAACAAAGAGAGAGAATTGCTGAAATCTTCTGAACAAATTTACCTATTTAAATATAATATATCCTAAAAATACGTCTTGTTCGGCCACCTCTTTTTCGAGTTGGCGCGTCGCCAGTCCAGGTGGTTCACCTCTTCCTAATAGGTTTTCCATTCTCCAGTACCTGGCCTCGGTGGTTCACCTCTTCCTAATAGGTTTTCCATCCTCCGGTACCTGGCCTCGGTGGTTCACCTCTTCCTAATAGGTTTTCCATCCTCCGATACCTGGCCTTGGTGGTTCACCTCTTCCTAATAGGTTTTCCATCCTCCGGTACCTGGCCTCGATGGTTCACCTCTTCCTAATAGGTTTTCCATTCTCCAGTACCTGGCCTCGGTGGTTCACCTCTTCCTAATAGGTTTTCCATCCTCCGGTACCTGGCCAAGAGGTTGACTGGTTGCTCTATCTCCAACTCTAGGATGTAAAGGCGGTTTACCGTGCACCGAACTTGCGTGAGCAACCGTCGTCGATCATCACGGATCCTAAGTAGCCCCCGCTTGATGGAAATGTGACAGTCGGCCTTATCGAGTTGACCTAGGCTCACAATATTAGCCGATGAACAGGATGGTGTCGTGCCCTTCGATCTCGACGACGAAGCCGTCGCCGAATTTCACCGTCCCTCGAATCCTCGAGTCAAGCTCGGAGAACACAGACTTGGCTCCGGTCATATGGTTTGTTGCCCCACGTGTCGAGGACCCATCACCGGTGCTCTTGCTACTCGCCTCTTTCACTGATTTGAGCGAACACTCGCTCCGAATTAGGGACGTCAGGTAGGACTGATTGCAGTCACCATGAAAAGAGCCAGCCCTAAAAATACGTCTTGTTCGGCCACCTCTTCTTCGAGTTGGCGCGCCCCCGTCAGTCCAAGTGGTTCAACCTCTCTTCCTAATAGGTTTTCCATCCTCCGGTACCTGGCCTCGGTGGTTGACTGGTTGCTCTATCTCCAACTCTAGGATGTAAAGGCGGTTTACCGTGCACCGAACTTGCATGAGCAACCGTCGTCGATCATCGCGGATCCTAAGTAGCCCCCGCTTGATGGAAATGTGACAGCCGGCCTTATCGAGTTGACCTAGGCTCACAATATTAGCCAATGAACAGGATGGTGTCGTGCCCTTCGATCTCGACGACGAAGCCGTCGCCGAATTTCACCATCCCGCGAATCCCTGGAGTCAAGCTCGGAGAACACAGACTTGGGCCCGGTCATATGGTTTGTTGCCCCCCGTGTCGAGGACCCATTACCGATGCTCTTGCTGCTCGCCTCGGATACTGAACGACCGTGCCATAACCCTTGTGCCTGTAGGTTGACGCACATCAATAAGGTCCACTCGTTGTAGTTGGACCCCACGCTTTGCATTTTCTTCTACTAAAACCTGAGACCTGTGCGTTGTTAGGCCGATGTTCTAACCACTTGAGCTATTCAACTTAACTGTTGATAAGATTGGCTCCTCCACAATGATATACCACCGATGGCTTCAACCGGGCTCTGATACCACTTGTTGTTTTTTGATAATCGGCCAGGAAAATCCTTTTCTTTTCAGTGAGAGGAAATCGTTGACGGGAAGTTGTTGGAAGAAAATAAAACACATAAAATAACAAAGAGAGAAAATTGCTAAAATTTTGACTGTGCTTAAAATCAGGTGGTGAAATAACAAATTTACCTATTTAAATATAATATATCCTAAAAACGAGAGTGGCCAACTAAATCTGTGCCACTTCCTACAAAATTTCCATTTAAAACTTTGGTAATCGATTCGATGTGTTTGTCAAATGGTCAAACGGAGGTATTCAATCAACTAATGAAATCGCGTGAATCTAGATAAGGAAAAAACTCAGGTTTTATCTAACAGATCATAAATCAACTAATGAAATCGTGTGAATCTAAATAAGGAAAAACTCAGGTTTTATCTAACAGATCATACCAACACTAATGCACCGGATCCCATCAGAATTCCTCAGTTAAGCGTGCTTGGTTATGAGTAGTACTAAGTTGGGTGTCCACTTGGGAAGTCCTCGTGTTGCACCCTTTTTTTATTTCTTTTACTCGTTATTTCAATTTCTCCCCGTTCTTTTCTTTCTTTCTTTACAAATGGCAACCGCTCCCGCTCGCATGCTCACACCCATTCTTCTCTCCGACGTGTCCGCGCCGGCGTTTTCGAGCACTTGCGTCCACCCACCGTCACCTCAATCATGCCGCCCCGCATGCGTTAAATGTAATTTGTGCGCATTGCATGCCGGGTGGATCATACCAGCACTAATGCACCGGATTCCATCAGAACTCCGCAGTTAAACGTGCTTGGGCAAGAGTAGTCCCTCCAAACCTCTTTTCTGATTCTTTATGTAAATGGTGATTGCTCGTGGATTAAATGGACAGTTATACTTGCATGGCCCCGCTAGCCATTTTGAGTGCTGACATGCATCCATGTCAATATATTATGGTTGATTCATATACGTACAAAAAGAACAAAAATTAGAATGATCATTGAGCTCAAAAAGTGCTTGGTTGAGATCTCAAAGAGGTGAAATGTGGAAGAAAAATTTTGTGTAAGCAAAATTTAAGGTCAAAACGGCCATATTTTTGGATGAAAGGTTTGGCAAGCCGCCTTTTGCGTCTTGCCAGCGTGTAGATATCAAAAAGTTACATAAAATTAAAAAAAAAATCATCTAATTTAATTAATCGAGGTCAAAGTTATGACGTTTTAAAGTTTCAACTTAACTCTAAGATATTATTGAGAGCATTAAAAGTCTCGATGCACTGAAATTTTTGTTTGCTCGTAACCATGATGTTATAGATCGTGGAAAAATGTATGAAAATGAGTACTCATACAGCAAAAATAAGGTTGTATCGAGAAATATATGTTGTCCAAAATGTTTACTCTCTGCTGTACAGGTTTTATTTCTTGGCTTAAAAGCAATTCGCAATCGAGTACCCTCTTAGAGCAAAATAAGATGCAAATCGGAGCCGCAAACTTTATCAATATTTATTTCTCTCCTTTTATTTTATTTCGTAGTACATTATTATATAGACAGTAGTTTTGAAGTTATAGTATACCTAACGAATTATATATACTATGTAGGATTTTTTTACTACTAATGTACTTATATATCATCACAAGCATAACATCAAATTCCCTTTTTACTCTTTTTATTATTTAAATTTGTTAAGATTCAGCGCAATATTTAGAGTCACTCAATCTAAATGAGAACCTACAAAATGGGGTAAAATATTAGATTTTCTCTATATATTTTAATATTATTATACCCCAAACTTAAAATATGGCTTAACGTAATATGAAACTCTATCTTATACTATGTTATACAGCTCAATTTCTTAGTCACGTTTTATTTTATTGGATTACTTTTCTCGGTAGGACTTACAATTTGATGGAATGTACTCTTCCTAAACACATGAGAGCATACCATGTTTTAAGAACTTTAGGACCAATGTCTTTCGAATAAACTCATGCTTATGACTTATGGTTCGGTTGAGAGTATGATACCCTAGCATTAGCCATGGACAATATTAAGAGCCTAAAATTAGGCTACTTAATTGAGTTTTATATGCATTCTAATTTTTACCTGTTTTTCAAGTAATGACTACACACTAGTAGAGTAGATATGAAGCTGATGCCATAGAGAGACAACCTAAGGTCGATATTCTCCAATGGCTTTGTATCTTTTTGTATATGCGTGTATTTGTGTTTATATATATGTTTTAAATTTTTTGAGTCTTTGTTTTAAAAAGATAAAAAAAAAAACAAAAAAAAATTTACTATGTTTTTACTTCCTCGAGTCAACCTACGTCATCATTCGTGCGGTAAACAACTCAAAAAATGGATCGTGATAGATTGGTATCAGACATGCCCTACCACGACTAGGTAAGTATGCCAATAAGTACTTTAGTAGGTTAATATAAGTTTTAAGTATTATCTTAAATTTTAAGGACTTTGGTTTAATTATTTTAGGGCTACTTGTTCAAGTTAGGCCTATGATGACATTTGAGGTACCTAAAAATAATTCTAAATTTTCTTTCATGATAGATCACGGTGTCAAGAAGAAGGGCACCAACTACTGGGATCATCAAAGGAAAAGGAAGAGGTAGAAGGTAAGCCTCTGAAAATTTCATTGAACGGTCACTCGAGGTAGAGATTCCCTAGAACTAAGTACAAAACACAAGAACTAAGTACAAAACACATAGATGCAGACCCAATAAGAGCCTATTCCCAATCAGGCTGCACCTCCAGTCTAGTCAACTATTACATATCACATTCACTTTGGAGGCCTTGTAGTCCTTCATGAGGATGATGATGGAAACTCAACAAGCAGGGTAGTGCATGCTATCTGCGTTAACCAAGTATCACATTCTCCCAGTGAGTTTCAAAGGACAACGAAAGAGTCATGGTTCTTAAGAGACTTTAAGAAGTTCGATTCACCAACGTTTAATAGAGACAAGGTAGATCTCGTGGTAGTAAGGCATAGCTAGAAGCAATAGAAACAACCTTGCAATACATTTACTACATGAAAATCTACAAGGTTCACTATGCCACTTATAAGTTAAAGGGCAGATGCACGTTTTTTGTGTCATGCACCAAAACTAGGAGGAGTTCCTAAGCCTCAAACACGAAAGTAAAACATTGGAAGAGTATGTCTGGAGTTCACTAGGTTATACCAATTCACGTTAGAACTAATTGATACAAAAAAGAAGAATATCTTTCATTTTATTACGGGTTTAAGGAAGGACATCCAAGGGCCGATGGTGGTCCGTACATCCGGTGGCTATGCCACCATGCACCATTAGAAGATTAAAAAAACAAAAAGTGTAGTAGGTCCTCTCGAGGCAAAAAGATGAGGTTAAATAGAAACTCCTCCTAGTCTAAGAAGCAGCCATAGAAGAAATTAGACAACAGAAAAATGCCACAAAAGGAGAAACCCCTATTCCCTAAGAGTAAGAAGCACGAAAGGTACTTCTTAGTCAAGATGAACACATACTTAGTGTGGCATGGAGGGCCACATGATCACAAATTGCACATACTAGAGAGATTAGGGTAATAGACTTGCGTGTCAAAACTAGAATTAGCAGCAATAAAAGAACCAGAGCCAATGACGTAGAGGAACACCACAACAAGGACAAGTTGTTGCACATGCTACTACGGCCATGAGAGCAAACGACCCCAACACGATAGTCATAGGTCCTTACCTATCCTCGGCTACTTCACATAGGTACTTTTTTATTCAAGCTCTACACACTCATTTATGTCAAAGCCTTTGTTATGTAAGCCATATTAGAAATAGAGCATTTATATATCCCAATCATGGTATCCACACCTACTGTGACAAATTTACTAGCCATGCAAAAAGTTCATTTCGACAGGGTAGTGATTACAAGAAGGATCATAGACGTGACGTTGATTGTCCCATATATGAGTGACTTTGACATCATCGTAAGAATGTAACGGCTTGTTCATAACTATGCCTATATTGATGTCGAGCAAGAGAAACGAATATCAAATCTGCATTACGAGAAGGCTTTAAGTACAAAGGGGAGTATGCTAGAAGTACCTCGTAGGCCATTGATTGCTTATGAAGGTATATAGTAAAATGGTGTAAAATTCAAAAGAAAAAGTGCAAGTATCCACTATCACAAGTAGCAAGTAATAAGTAAATTATGGATTGCATAGAAAACCTATTTTGTTTAATTACTTTTGTTGCTGAAAATTAAGTGATTTTTTAGTATCATTCAAATGTGGGTTGATGAGCTAAAACTATTTGAACAAAATTTATGCAGAGTGTCAATTACGGTAGAAAAACAGAGAGCAATGAGAAAATTAATGATAACGAGGAAGGTTGGGCCAGGAGAGTTCAAATAGATAAGTTGTTGAAATTTACGGTGGATTTTATCTCCTTTTGATAAATTCTCAAGTGCTCTTTTGAGGGTCATGCATGATGACTACTTTCATCATTGTTTTGTAATTTTTATTAACAAGAATTATTTCAAACCCTTCAATTACCTTCAAATATCCTTGCAATGAAACTAGAGTATTAAAGAGAATTTTTTACTCTCTTCTTTCAAATAAGAGAAAAACCATGTATCTAAAGTAGCCAACTAAACAAATTTGAAAATCACTAATAGCAACTTTTTATTTAATAAACTAAAAATTACATCGTTAACATACTTAAACTACATAAACTCTCCCGCTTCCCTTATAAGGTTTAGCTCTCCATATACACTTATTTAAAGAGATGGATCATCATTTTAATCATGTAAAATTCATAGAATAAGAAAAGAGAGTAAATGATTAGAGAGTTATCAAACTTTGTTGTTGTTCTTCACTTGAATTCCCCTTCGTTGAGCTCTCTCATCCACCTCTTCGTCTTAATCTATCCTTCTTGATATTCTTTTCCTTCGACTATCAACAACGGTTGAATTATGATTCTTCTTCTTCATTTTCTCTTATTTTTATAGTAGCATAACGGTGTCTTTTCCGTTTTTCTCCTTTAGAAGTAAATTCTCTTTTATATTATTTCTTTCTTCCCATGTAGGGCTAAAAAAGGATAAGTCAATTAACTCTCCAAAACTAGAGTTATATAAGTCTTTTTTTTTTTTTTGTAGGTAATTATGTACTCATACAAAATATTTTCTTATTATTTGTTCCATTGGTTCTAATTAATAAGCATGAGATAGTGAATTGTGGTTCAACATGAAAAGAATATCAATTTGCATGAATCAAGCCTAATTGTACACTTAATTGAGTTATTTGGTAAAATTCTAGAACATTTATACTGAACCATGATGTTGTAGCAAATTTGGAAACAAACCCTACGAGCAAATCTAGAAACAAATTGTTGACTGATGCTGAAGTAATTCGGAAATCAAACTTTTTGAGCATGACATGAAAATTTTAATCCACCCTCGTGGGTCATTGACTACCCAATTAATAACATTCTAGGTGGACAACTTATCCTTTCTCAACTCTAAATGGAAAGAAACAAACAATATAAAAGGAAAAAGTGACCTAAAAAGGAGGAGAGCCACTAAATAGAAAACATGGAATAGACAACAAGAGGGTTCTCCTGCTGTGAAACCAAAGAGAAAGAAGAAGAAGAACCCTAATACAATAGCAGTTGAAAACTGAAGTAAAAGAAAACCAAGAAGGATAGATTAGGGTAAAGAAGTAGATGTGAGAACTCAAAGGAAATGAACTTCCATTGAAGGACAACAACAAATTCAGCTTGTATGGAGAGCTAAACCTTATAAGGAGTCGAGAGAGTTTTAGATAGTTTAAATATGTTGATGGTGTGATTTTAGTTTATTAAAGAGTTGTTAATGATTTAAATGTTTATTTAGTTGGCCACTTTAAATACATAGTTGTTCTGTTATTAGTAAGAAAGAGGGAACAATAAAATTCTCTTTAATACTCTAGTTCCATTGCAAACATATTGAGGGGTAATTGAAGGGTCAGAAATACTTTTCTCCTAAAGCCTTGTTAATAGAAATTATAAAACGATTATGAAAATAATCATGCATGACCCTCGAAAATGGGCTAGAGAATCTATTACAAGGAGCTAAAATCTACAACAAAACTCAACAACTTATCTATTTAAATTCTCTTAGTCGAATCTTCCTCATTGTTGTTGATTTTCTCATTGTTTTTTGTTTTTCGACAACAGTGACACTTTACATAATTTTGTTTAATTAGTTTTAAAATCACCAACACTCATTGGAAAAAGCTGACTTAGGTTCTAGCAACAAAAGTAACCAAAAAGATAGATTCTCGGTAGAATCGATAATTTACTTATTACTTGCTACTTGTAATAATGTATATTTGCACTTATTCTTGTGAATTTTACATCATTTTATTATATACATTCATAAGCGATCAATTGTCTACCTAGTAAGTTCCTAATTGGGTGATCAATGACCCATGTGTTTGCTGATTTGGTTTATAATTTTCATGTCATCCTCAAAAAATTTACTTTCCAAATTGTTTCAGGATCAAGGTCAACAATTTGTATAAACATGTCATCGAGGTTGTTTTCAAATTTGCTACAACATCATGATTCAACATAAATGTTTGAAAATTTACTTAATAACTCAATTCAATGTACAATTAGGTTCTATTAATGCAAATTACACTTGCTTGAAGCGAAGTGGCTTTTTCATGCTTACTAATTGGAAATAATGGAGCAATTATTGAAAAAATTGTGAGCTGCGATGGACTATTTCAGAATTCCTCTAACCATCTTTTGCTTAGATGAGCTAGATGTTACGTTTGCTAGCATTTCCACCTCTTCCCATTGGATTGGCGTTCCTTCTTCAAACTCTTCTTGCACTGCTTGCTTACCTCTTGTCCTTGGTGCCATTATACTGTAGTTGCTAGCTGATTTTTTTCTTGAGTTTGAAGGATATTTGGATGAGCTATGTGGTGTTCTGGTTGCAGGGAGCTACTATATAGCTGACTTCATCCCCTTCTTGTGAAATTCTCGATTTAGTATCTCAAGAGATGCTTCAAATTTGTGTATGCAGACTAATTTTGTTGTTGTCATGTCTGCCTTCTATCCAACTTCTGCGGCTGTCAGGTCTGCCTTCTTTCCTTTACCTACGCTGACAACTATTACCTACTGTTGTGCTCAAAGTTAGCTGTTGTATGCGATTTCTGATGTGTAGCAGATTTTTCTTACCGCCTTCGCTATGTTTCCATTCCAAGCTAACTCGAGATTGTAAAAAAAAAAAAAAAAAAAATCTGTCCATTTCTCTTTTCCATTATGATTTCCTCACTTGGAAATGCAAGCAAATCTTCTATGACAAATTTGGGTCTCTTCATTCAAATTTTTTTTTGGTGATGGTGCCATGACATGTTACTGTCTCTTTTTCGTGTGTGTATATATATATATATTATATATATATAGATATATATATATAGATGTGTGTGTGACATGCAATCTTTTTCGTGTGTGTATATATATGTATATATATATATGTGTGACATGCAATCTTTTTCGTGTGTGTATATATATATGTATATATATATATATATATGTGTGTGACATGCAATCTGTCCATTTCTCTTTTCCATTATGATTTCCTCACTGGAAATGCAATCAAATCTTCTATGACAAATTTGGGTCTCTTCATTCAAATTTTTTTTTTTTTTTTTTTGGTGATGGTGCCATGACATGTTGCTATCTCCTTTTCGTGTGTGTGTATATATATATATTGATGGTGTTAATATAACACATGCAGAAGCAATTTGGATTTTAGGCACTTTTAGAACATTAATTATAATAATTAACTAACATGTTGATAAGTATTAAAACTTAATGAGTTTGAATACTAACCTTTTGTAGTTCAAATTCCTTTTTCCTCACGAACCAATTTCGAACCACCATTAATGTCTTCTCCACTATCCTCCGGCCTTAGAACGGGATTGTGGAATCCGATGAGTTTGTCTAAAAAGAGTGTTTGGGAGAGGTTTTTCTCAAGGTTTTTCACCAAGAAGAAGAAGAACTTTCATGTACCATGATCACTCTATTTAAAGAGTCATGTTTGCATGTTCATGCAAATTTGAGATCACTCAATTTTGACACTCAAAATTCCACTCAAATGTTTGGGATTATGTGGCAAGCATGCATGTTTGAGTTAACCAAATTTTGACACTCAAATTCCACTCAAACTTGTGGGTTTATTTGACAAGCATGCAAGTTTGGTTAAACCAAATTTTGACACCTCAAAATTTCACTAACATGGATTTTTCCGAAGTCAACATTTTGACTTTCCTCATTTTCATTGAACAATTAATTTGAATAATTAATTTCAAATTAAAATTTTGACACTCAAATTCCACTCAAACTTGTGGGGTTTATTTGGCAAGCATGCAAGTTTGGTTAAACCAAATTTTGACACCTCAAAATTCAACTAACATAGATTTTTCCATTAAATGAAGTCAACATTTTGACATTCTTCATTTTAATTCAACAATTAATTTGAATAATTAATTTCAAATTAAAGTAACATTAAATGATTAATTAAACTATTTAATTAATATTTAATATTAATTCAAATGTCAATCTCAATCAATTCCGACACATAATTGATTAAGATATTTAAATCTTATTTAAATATCTCAGATTCTCTCTTTTTGTTTAATTCGTAAATAAAACAAAAATGCGGTTAAATATATTGTATATATGTAGCGCATATTCCCTAATTTGAATTCGAACACTTCGAACTCACTCGTCACACTGTTCTATGGTTTAGTCCGATGAGCTAGCAGAGGGACCTAATGGACCTATAGATCATGGGCTCCAACGATCCAAGATTAACCGGTTAAACTCATTAACCTAGTTAACCAACATTTGTTAACTACTAGGACACTCCACTATAGCCTAGTAGTTGCACTCCCCTCACTATAGATATATTTCTGTCCATTTGATATAACCATGATTAGTAAGTCGATCCTTCACAGGTTGTTCGTAACTAGAGCTGGGTCAATTTACCGTTTTACCCCTAAAGTTACTTCTTGTTCCTTATGTCTCACTGATCCTGTAATGAACAATTGGTTTGTGGTCCAACCAGTAAACCGAATCCCTCTCAGGCCAATGAAAGGGTGGGGCCCCTTGTTCAAGACCTGGAGTTAGTGCTTCAGGGAACTACCTCTCTTCTATCCCTAAAAGTGGGTAGGAGTGAATTCCATCTTACACCCCACGTCCCCAGCCATTCACCCAATCTTACCCCTGAAATGGGAGGCTTATTGAGTCGGCGAACTAGAGCCACTCTCACCCATGCAAATCTAAGGATAATTCCGAATAAACTGGAGTTCATGGTTAGCTCAGGATTAAAACCGAGTTACCTAGGTTATCGAATGAAAAGAAAATCAGTCTCAACAGTAAACGACATTATAAAGTGAGAGTGGTTTTCTTCATGGTCCGATCTTATGCAATACTCATTGCATAGGATGTCCCCACTCACATGTACAATTTAGTGATCACATTGTTTATATCATATACAA